TAGCATATTAATACCTCTTGAAGCTTAAGATTATGTTTGATCAAATCGGTACTTGCAGGCTGCAATCATCTCACTGGGCTTGATAGGTGCTGGTACAAACAATGCACGTATAGCCGGATTGCTTCGTAAGCTCTCAAGTCAGCAATATGGCGGTTATCTGTATTGTGTAAGTACAAATATACAGCAAAAATAAATAAATTATGTCCTTGTTTTAAACACTAGTAAGATTTCCTGTGGTTATTTAAGTTTCAGATGATTTGATTTCGTTTGATTTCAGGTGAGGATTGCACAGGGTCTTGTTCACCTTGGGAAGGGCTTGCTGACACTTGACCCATGCCACTCTGACAGGCTACTTCTATCTCCGTGAGTAATGTGCCCCATATGGTTTCCCTTTGGTTTTACTGGAAGTACGTTTCAAAAAGCTCTTGTTGTTGGTGTTGTTGTTGTTGTTATTGTTGTCACTTTTCAGCGTAGCACTAGCTGGGCTTGCAACCGTTCTGTACGCATGCCTTGACATGCAACCCATCATCGTCGAAAAGTATCCCTACATGCTATACATCCTCGCCCTCGCTATGCAGGTATGTATCTCCTACTGTACTAAGGACTCAGTGGTAGAGTTAAAGAAGAATCACATGATTTGAAATGTGTGTTTCTCTGCTGGGGACAGCCTAGGATGTTACTGACTGTGGATGAGGATCTCAAGCCCCTACATGTGCCTGTTCGTGTCGGCCAAGCAGTCGACGTGGTCGGTCAGGCGGGAAGTCCCAGGACCATCACTGGCTTCCAGACGTACAACACGCCTGTAGTGCTTGCTGCAGGGGAGCAAGCTGAGCTAGCAACTGAAAAGTAATTACAGAGCATTTTCGAAATGAATCTTATGTTCAGTAACTTGATTCTTGCTTGAGCTTATTGCTGTTCCTGCGTGTAGATATATTCCGCTGACACCAGTTCTGGAGGGCTTTGTGATCCTGAGGAAGAACCCAGAGCATCATGAAGATTGAGAGATTGGTGCGATGCAAGCGTAAGCGGATCTGCGGATGGAGTGCCATGAAGAGGCTTGGTCAACATCTAACTGTCATACAAGCAAGCGACAATGACTATTGTGAAGAGGCTGCAAATATTCCTTCTAACAGAGTACAGGGACAATACAAAAGTATAGAATAGCTCAGGGGTCAATGTACAGAGGGAGATTGGGTCGATGGTTCTTCGAAAAGAGGAGAAGCAACTTTGTCGGAACGGGGAACAGAAACAGATGGCTGCATAGCATAACCTCAATCAAATTTTGTGTTTTCACTCACTAGACTGTTTTTGAGATGCATATAATAGACATACTCAGTTGTCCGATGTTTTCTGCCCTTTTAAGAAGTCACTCATCATGTATCTACAATGCTAAGACATCCGCAAATGATCAACTTTTTGCACCCATCTGTTGCAAAAGCAAACATAATCTATAGATGGATAAACTTGCATTTTGTAAGAAAGCTAGTAGTGCACTGCCGAGAGGTGACTATCTGTCATTCACGACTTCATTACTGATGGAGGTACTTTCTGTAGATTGATTTACGACTTCACCGGCGATATCATTCAGAACAAAATAGCCTCCTTTTTGTGGAGCAAGGAAGAACGACTGAGTAAATCTACGCTTAATGGCATCAGGGACAGTAAAGGATCCACTAACTAAAATGAGCACACCGCCCTCATGGGATGGCTGAGAATCTACATTGTCTATCTGCATCGAACATTCCTGAGGTATGTAGATACAAAGTGTTCATTGATATCCTGGTTAAGCACACACACAAAAAATCGATTAGAACCAATCAGGGGGCAATAGCCCTTAACTGAGCAAGCATGTATTAGACAAATATGAGCTAAATGATGGGCGGCGAGAGGCATGGCATTCTGGGCCGGAACCTGCGTCTCAAGTGTGTGTGGGCGGGCAGCCATGGCTTCGTGTGGGTGGGTGTGTGTG